CTATGCACGCCAGGTAAGTATGTAGATGAAGGAGTTTGTTTCTTTCAGACTCCTCCCATTTATGCTGGCTGATTCTTGTCTTTGGTTGTTGGCCAGGAATCTTCATCGCGTTTGCCTTCTTTATGCCCACCTGCAGGAAGTACTGTCTTTGATACTTCTTCTACCAAATTGTTGTATGAAGAAGCACGTTCATCCATTCAAATGCATATGGTATATTGAGAAACTGAAGTGTTAATGTGTTCTAGACCGGTGGAATAGACTATGGCATGTTTATCCAGTTGTAAACAACGAAGATGATGTGTAATATAAATGGTTATTGTTTCTTTTTTGCAAATGATATACAGTATTGATTTTAAGATGACGCGTTTAATAACTGAGCTTCAGTTGAAATCTGTATCCCCTCATTATCCATGTCATTCAAGTTTGACATCCCACCGACTAAGCAGCAACATCAACTCCTACCTACTTAGGAATGAAGAGAGGGAGAGAGTCAGAGTAGATGAATGCATTTTGACTGAAATATCTGACATAATCTTAATGATGCAAGCTGATCACATGCAGTATTATTATTTTTCCCTTGGGTTCGGAGTGGAACATAGGACTACAACAACAAATCTCCACTTTCTTCTATCTTCTCTCACTCTCTTCAGCCGGCTCGACGATTGTCTGTAATCTTTCATCTTTTCCTCACACGATCTCTTACATGTCACTGTCGTACAGACGACCCACCTATCGCTTACCGTTGAGATTCCACTCGAGTTATGGCCTGCATTGCGCGCAATGTCATTCGACGGTTTTCTCAATTTATGTTCGATCCGTCTCCATTCTTTCCTACATATTTGTTGTTGATTACATGTAACAGCTGGATTATAATTATTGAATTCCATTATGAAATAAAACTATTTGTTATGTGAAAAGTTGCAAGTTGGAGAATACACCTTTAATTACGAAAGGAGTGAAATGCATCAAAAGTCAAGTATTGAAGTCAAGATGGGAAGACAGAATTATCACTACAGACTGTGATCTATATTCACACATTTAGCAGAAAAATAAACTGAGAGGAAAAAGAAAAAACTTGCTGTACATTTAGGAATTACAGAATTGATTGCAAGGTGACAACATTTAGAGGAGCGTTTGTAAACCACCAAGGAGTATTGGACATCTAGTTGTTTCGTCAGCCCAGCTTGAGACTATTCATCAGTACACACTCACCTCCAGGGTTCATACCCAAGGCATTGAGGTTACGAGGTGAGCTCGTAGACCATTAAGTCGTTAGGATGTCATCCAAACTGGGACGAAACAGCTGTCCACTACTCTAAGCGTGGTTTCCCAAGTGATCTATAGCTTATATCAATCCGTGACCAGACTTCATAAAAAAGAAATACCTACCAGCAAACTGATGAAAGTATAATTTATTAGCCTTATTGTGATAACCAAGACCGGCATATCCTAGAAATACTTGAAGAACCTAGAAGACCTGGATTTTTCGGATGATTTATTTTTTATGTCACACAAAATCGAAGACTTACAAGCGAAAACCGACAAACTGGTCGAAGAAGCAGCTGGCGAAGACAGGACTCCAGGTGAACATAGACAAGACAGAGGTTATGAAAATAACCAACCAACCAACAACTACAACAGCGGCAGCAACATCCAGCGCCAGTCACCATCAACGGGAGGGATTTGAAAGAAGTTAGTTACTTCATTCACTCACTTATCTAGAGAGTATTGTCTCAACTACAAGTAGTCGGAACGAACGAGGATGTCAAATCGAGCGAGAATCGGGAAGGTGAGAAACACATTCATCAATCTGAAACCAATCTGGAAATCTTCGTCACTCAGCCAGCATCAACAACAAAATCCAGTCGGATCTTCAATACAAACAACGTCAAGTCAGTCAGTTCTTCTGTACGGATCGGATCAGAAACTTGGCGGGTGGGTCACAAAGAATATTTCCAACAGCCTGTTGCAGACATTTATCAACAACTAACTGTCTTCGATCTATACTGAATGATGATCAGATGGCCGGGCCGAAAAGAATCACTTACAACAAGAAACTATGGGAACAAACAAAACAAGAACCAATCGCCCAACAAATATGCAGGAGAAAGTGGAGATGGTTTGGACACTCGTTGAGGAGGCCGCTGGGTGACATTGCGTGCGCGTCAGGCCAATGCTCGATTGGAACCAGGTCGAAAGGGAAGCGGCGAGTGGGACGTCAGTGCAAGGGTGGGTGACATGGAGGAGATCGTGTGAAGAGGATTTGAAAGAGTATGGACTAACATGGATGCATGTGAAAAGTACAGCAGAAGACAGAAGCAGACGGAGACGTGCAGCTGAAGCCCTATGTTCCACTAGGAACCCAAGGGAACAATAAAAAATCAATAAATTGTGATAATCTGTCGGGCAATACTGTGTACACATCAAAAGCAACAGCTAGATAACAGAAATAAATATACAATAAAATCGTAACAGTTAAAACAGATGATGTAATTGATTTTTAGATTTTCCCGTCGATCGATTGGACAGAAGTGCTGGGTCTCAGGTTAACATATCCGTTGGCTTCTTGTGCAGATGCTTCGACGATGTCTGGGCATGTAACTGAAAGTTAATTGGTGGGTGATGACTGGGGAACGCAGGTTCATTCGACTAACGAGTCCCAAATAAGGCGAAAGGCTCATTCTGGATTCCACTGCCAGTCATCATCCACCAATTAAAACAGATAGTGTTTCGTGTGATAATGAAATATGAGTGCAGGAATTGATCATCAGCGAGATGTGAGCAAATGTTACTGTCTAGTTTGTCACCAAGAGACTTCAAAATGCACTAAACTAAAGACCCTCAGGTTAAAATATCATTAGTAGCTGAACAGTATAACCATTATGCTAGGGATGAAGATTTATAAAATTCTTGTTTCTCTCAGTCTCCAAATTAGTGACCCTGACATTTTCTGATATTAGTCAGTATTTCTCTTTAAACCTGACTTCGAGGACTCTACCAGTAACAGCTTCTCAGTGCGACTTAAAGAAGTTAATGACGAAGGCATTCCCAAATGAACAGTGCATTCCAATTAGTTTCTACCATTTCTGTGTATTTCAGTGTCTCCAAAGAAGCACTTAGCTGTGAGTGGAATGATGATGTATTCATGGCGTAAAATATAACATTTATATATTCAGTCCATGTTAAGAGAGTGAATAAGCACCAGTGAGGAATCATGGACTTGAACGAAAAATTTATCCAGTGCTTCCTGGCGTCTGGTGGTTCACCTTGCTAATGTCCATTGCAAACCGGCCAAGTCACCACCCTGATAAATCAAATTAACAAAATGATTAAGATCAGAGTAGATAATCTGCTTGATACTGTGTATGGTGATCAGGAAAAGAAAGCATATCTGTATACAATTATATACTACTAATTGATTGAAATGAGTAGTTGTGACCAACTCCTATAAACTGGTAGTGCTTACTAGACAGATCCAGATGATCCGAACACCGAGCTCATTATGGTTGGTATGGTGTAGTTTGATTTGAACTGTGTGGATGGAAAACTATTGACTAATCTACAAGTGAGGAGTTTGTATTTTGATGTCACTAGTTTACCGCCAAGTAGGTAGCTACAAATCCGGTATGTTTTGAAGTGATTCAGTTCTCTGAGCTGAATCAAACTGGATATACCTCGATCTGACTAGTAAGCACTATTGGTTGATATGAGTAGTACACATCTACTGATCCCAGCCAGCCAATATTTTATAGTTTTGTGCAAATCATCACAAGCTCAATATCTAAATGAAGAGAAAAAGACTGTCAGTTGAGCAAAAGGAAGGCAGTTAATCATTTTTGTATGATTTATTGTGGTTATATAAATAACCTCCTGTAGGAGTGTACTAGAAACTTTGTTTGGACAGTAGGTGGTAACTAGTGTCATGCATCTAGTTCAGTCAAGATACCAAATAGGTCAGTGGTGGTGTCCTCAAATACATCAGTAGATAACATGGGTTCCATTCTCAGAAGGGATGAGTACCAATAAGCATGAAACCTAGATGCAAGGCAACCTAGTGACTGCTTTCAGCTACCTAATTAGAATAATTCAAGGTGCACTATGAGTGAACAGGAGAGTCGGCCAGTATGGTGGCCATATCGCAAATTTGAATGATGGAATTCAGTCTGTAGCAAACAAACGACTAACTAGACACATGGCACTAGTTACTCTGTGGTACCCAAGTCAAGGTATTCATAAGACTGTTGAATACTGCTTGGAGACGTCTGAATAGGAGCTCGGAATGAATCATGACTGACATCTTCCAACACTAGATTACGTAGATGAACAATTCACTGGATGACAACCAGTGAAAGTATCAAATGCTTTCATCGAAAATATTTGTGAAGAGTCATCAACTGATGTTAGAAGCCAACTACCAGTTTACTGATATTTACCAAATTCTCATTTGAATCAGAATTGCTGTTTACAGTGTTTCTGAGATGGTGGTGACCAGAGAATCATTTATTTAACATATCTGAAGTACCGATTCATCATGTGATCTCGTATAATATGAGCCCACAATGTTTCAAATCATTCTTTCCAAGTTAGTAATTGAAACATCACCGGTTTGAATGATGCTGTGACATGGGTGTTCGTTTCACCTCTAATTATCACATATTCTATCCCAAGCCTTACTGAAAATAAAGTGGGAACTGTGACATCAATATCAACAGTTTTCTCGTAATTGTAAAGGTTATTTCAACCCATTTCGTCTTTTATTCTCATGCCAGCCTCTCCTCTCACACGTAACAAATATTCACCTTTAAAGATTGTCGAAATACAGTTTACACTGTCATTTTTTCATCCCCTCATAAATTCACTCATTGGTCAGTCAGTCGGAAGAATTTGTTGGAAAATTTACTATCCCCAACACAATGACAATCACTCACATGCCTCCCGTTGATTGGTCAGTCAACAGACATGTGCCATTAATTCACTCTAATCATATTTCTGAATTAGACACGCGACCATTTTACATACAGAACTAGAATCCTATAACATCATGGTGTTTCTTGATAAAAGAAATATGCTGACTGATAATCGGTCGTCTGAAAACACTCCCGCACGTAAACTCTTTGCAGAGAGATTGTCAAATAAACCAGAGGGATGTGAAACACCCGAAATCCTAGCTTATCATGCATGTTTGCAGAGTATGAGAAGAATTCAAGATAAGTACTGTATTGACTTGAATCAACTGAACAACTTGAATCCAGTGAAGAGTGAACAATGTGTTTGGGAGTGGGAAGTGGTTGACTTGAGAGAGGAATATGTGCCTTCGTTTTATCATCCACGGTGTTACCGATCCGATGGTGCACTGAATTCTCACACCAAAGAAACAGTAAGCAATTCAACTGTGAACCACTCAATCAAGTGTTATGAGGAATGGAATATTGTGGAATTGAAGTTAACTGAGAAGGAAAGACGGAACACTTCATTACTTAGTAATGAGATCAAACACACAGGATGTAAGAGTCATGCATGCACTTTATTCACACTGTGGAAACCGAAAATTCAACGTGGAAAGTCTGTCGTTTCAAATAAAAATCAAGCAACAGTATCACTTCAACCGTTGAAGAGAGATCCGGGAATGTTCGATGGGTTGGATCGTCGCTCTCAAAGTCTGGATAATTATCCGCGTAATTTACTTGGTGTCAGTGCAACTGATTGTCCTGATAAGAATAAACCAGTGGATTGTATTGTTGTAATGATCTCCAACTGGCTGATGTTAAGGAAAGTAAATACCAGTTGGGGCATGATTCCTTGTGTCAAATAGTTACATGTAGACAGAAACAGTCAAAGATCCCTACAGTATTTTACCGCAATACTCGACGGAGTCATTCTGCAAATAACATGAATGACTTAAAATCAAGTGCTTCGAAATCGTCAACTGAGACACAATGGTAAGTACTGTATTGTTGTTCTCTTCGTGTTTACTATGATGAAATACTGGAGAATTGTGAGAGAGTGACTGAATGGAATTAGGTGAGCTGAGTGGGGGTAGTGGGGTTTACTCGGAGATTCAGCGTGACAAATTCAGTCATTTAATAGTCTCTCTGTGTATGCACACTGATCATATGTGTATATTTGTTACTTTACTTGATCATTTACGCTTACACACATCAGTTTATTCCATGTAGTTCAAACATGCAACCTTCCAGAACCTAAGGATTATCCTATCCCAATGAACTACCTGCAACTACACAATTATCATTTCAATGCTCCAAATGATGGTAAATTGGTTTTCACCTATTAAGATGCGAGGTGAAATAGGATTGAAGGTGTGAATTCACCTGTTGGTTCGTATGATGACATATGCTTTTGTACAGCTTGTAGTCAATGCGTAGGAAATAAGTGGTCATTAATTATTCTATTAATAAGACTGCAATGCAATTTAGGTATGGGCAAGAGATGCTTGAAATTACATTGTAGTCATGTGTTATCAGTGTAACATACTGTTAGGCGTTGTTATTATATGTATGATTAATTAGGTCAATTTCCTGTAACCATTACATGTCGGGTTACTTGTTGAGGTCAAGTGTGGGCATTTGAGTCAGCCTGCATAGTTGGTTGATTGTTGTTGGTTATTGGGTGAAAATGAAATGTGCATAGGATAGAGCTAATTGGTGATTGCCATTTAGAAGTTTAGCTGATTAAGTGAATGTATCGACAGGTGTTGGTTTTTTCTATTGTGTTCCACTTGTTACTGTTGAATTTCTGGTTTTTGTTAGAACTATATAAATGAGGGAAGAAACAAATGGGCCTTGTATTGTGAGACATTTAACAATAATCATTTAATGACATAAAATATTTCACTGTAGGTGTGTTTGAATGCTGAACATCCACTGAAGTTTACTGTGTAAACATCTCTGGGATGCATCATGGATAAAAATAACTGTTGGGTAGATAAGGACTGTCCGTTAGTTTGTAGATGTTTCAGATTATATGAGTATGATGTAATTGGATATAACACTTACATAACATTTGTTCTGAAGCACAGTAGACTTGGTTGTTTAGTTCGGTATTATATTCTTGCTAGCCAGATAAGAATATGACATCAGTGCTTATCTTAGCTATTGAGAAAATTTTTGATACGTGATTAACATTTCAGTGAAACACCACTAGAAGATGTTCAGTAAAATCCTTATATGCCAACATATTAACTTCATATAATCTCTAAACCTTCAAGCGTCATAACCATTCTTCATTTGGTTATTTTTCCATGAACGACTATTGGCTAGCATTAATTTTCATGTTATTGAGTTCTTCTCACGTTTATATGAGTTCTGTAGATTAGTTTAACAGTTGACACAGATTATTGTTGTGTTTGTCTCGTTCGGAGCGGTTTGAACACACTGATCCTAGTTTCACAGATAGCTGTGATTTGCTGATGACCAACATCTATATAGTAATGGTGATAAATGCTGTGGAAAGATTCACAACCATCCAGTTATAAGGTCTATGAATCAGGTAAAAGTAATCTCTTGCGCTGTATATTCATCAAGAGAGCAATATCCTATACGATTTTCTTTAGTCGTTCATTTCATCATTCTGTACTCTAAGTGAATGTCTCCTTAACACGAATAATTTTTCGGCAAAGTGTGAAGAGGATGATCTCGCATCGTCGGTTGTTGTTATTGTGTGAAAATGAAATTTGTTTAGAGTAGAATTAATCGTTGATTGCTACTTAGATGTCTGTTCGTCGGTGATACAGCGGTAGAATGCTCGCCGACAACGATCCCCATCCGGCCCACTCATTTACCTCCCTAAACCAGTAATTAGAGGGAAGGTTAGGTGGGAGGCTGGCAACCCCATCCCGTAAAATGAAAACCACTGCTACCGAAACGTCGAGCCTATCGCTTGAAGCCCTTTGTTCCACTGCGAACGTAAATGAAAGAAATGGCTAAAAAATTTCAACAATCGGTTTATTATTACTATTTTATTTCTTTACGTCCCCGATGGATCATAGGGCTTCAAGCTAGAGCTTTGAAGTTTCAATAGTAGTGGTCTTCATTTCTACGGGATAGGGTTGCCAGCCTAGTACCCAACCTTCTCTCTACTTACTGGTTTCCGGAGTGCTTCCATGGCCGAGGATCGAACTTCGAACCACATGATGCGTGGATGGCGGGCATCCTGCCTTTTTGCCACCGACGCATACCAATTTTAGGCAGTGAATTCTTACTAATTATTATTATTAGCACTATCTTATTAGTGGGTCACTATGGTGACTAAACAAACACCATTACACTACTAGATTTCACAAATGACCAACAAACCATTCGAATAATCGATTAATACCTACCTTGTCATCCAGTAAATAATACTGTTTCACAGTGTGATATATCTAATAAACAAACTAATATGTCAATAATTTACCTTGTTTGATTTGAAAGAAAAGACGTTCAGCGAAAAGATATTATTTTCGGTGACCTTATTCTTAAGCTGTACAATTGCACATATATGTGGTAAATCGTCTTGGCAACAAAAGGAATATTTCTGAAGATGTATCATTAGAACTATACAATTTAGATAACAGATTATGTGATGTAAAAGACGTTAATCGGTTAGAAACTACAACAAAATGAAGTAAGTAAACTGATTGACTTAATATAACTGACGGGATCGAGCAGCATTCAGTTAAAGCTGAGCAAGAGTCGAGTTAACAACAGTGGTAATAAGGAGGATAGAATTAGTAGAGGTTGTTGGAGGTGTGGAGAAAAGTAATACGATTAAAAACAAGAGTTACGTATTTTGTGTTAAAGTAGATCAGGTCCATTGTAGATTTAATGACTACACAAACTTTTTATATATACAGAGTTTAGTATTTAACATGTGGACTTCCATAACTTCTGCAATTTAAAGAAATTTGATTCGTACTCTTTTTGCGAGATTCCCATGTATTCTGTAGATAACTCTGAAGTTCCTTTGTGAGTTAGCTTGGTATTCAGATCCGATCAAGTGTCCTAGGATAGAGCCGCAAAGGCATCTTTTTTCTCCTTTATTAAACCATGGGGATGAGCGTTCGATGATATGTTTGAATAGCAAACGCTGGGTGCAGCCTACACATCTAGCCCCACACAAGCAAGTGTATTGTTAGAAGAATATTGGTGGGGCCAACACTGGTAGCTTATCCTTCGCGTTCATGTGAATCTTTAGTTCCGTAGAGAAAGTTACTTCAAGTTTAGCAGTGAAGAAGGTTTCCTTCAGTGAGTAAGGCAGGAGGTTGTTCATTATTTCTGCCTATCACACTCCATTGAATTATAAACTCAATTAGCGAAGTTCTTCTGAGGAGTGGAGGATTAGCAGAAGGTGTGATCAGTTTTAGTGACTTAAATTTCACGAATTTCGTAGTGAAACCTTCTGGATAGCTATTTTCATAGTGTTCAGCTCGTCTTTCACAGTTGCGAGACCGCAAATTCTGTAGATTCTGTAGCTCATTGAACGAATCAGATTTCGTTTTGTATATACAGAGGCACCCAACTATGAAAGTTAGTGATTTGTCCGTTTCATGTCGGTTTTCTATTAATGGATCTTTTTAGTGTTCCATCTTGATTCAGGTCTTGTTAACTGAACGCCCAGAATATTTACAATTCTAATGACACATCTTTGGAAATATTCCTTTTACTGATAAGAAAATTAACCATATATATATATATGCGATTGTATAGCTTGCAAATAAAAATCGCTGAAAAGATTAACTCTTCTAATGATATTAGATAGTTGGAGGCAATCGGCCGCAGTGTGGTGAGAGCAGGCTGCTAGCCGATTGGTTGGCACTAATCTACGTTAATGTCTAGGTCACTAATATGGGCCGTGAGAAAATATGAACAAGGCTGTTTCAACAACCAATCACAGCAAACTTAAATGTGGACAAATATGATTCGCAGATAGATGGCTCTACTTTCGGAGAAATATCGAGAACAACCAATCATAAGACTGTGTTTGTCTGCTTAACTTCCGAGAAACAACCAATCAGAAGACTGCCTTTTTCTGCTTGCATAAGCCTTATTAATGCACATAAAATATATATAAATACGTGTTGATTTTCGTAATAAAAGGATCTGTTGCCAGCCCTTGTCTTCTGTTGTTACAGCAGGAAGCCTTACTCGATCTAGGTTTCATGCCAGTTTGCGCTCATCAGCAAGGCGTATCTTCAACCTTGAAGGGACAAATGTCCCTTCTGAGATTCAAACTCGCATCACCCAGTGCAGTCTGCAGTCAGAGACGTTACCACTGAGTTATTCGGTCTCGCGATTGACCTCCTGTAGGATTGTAGTGGGTACTTTGATTGGACACTAGTAACTGGTGTGACGTGTCTAGTCCTTTAATCCTTTAGTAATGGCGAGCCACCTAGAATGGTGATCACATTGCAAACCTGGCTGATAGAATTTAGTCTGCACCAAAGAAAGAACTAGATATATCACACTAGTTACTAGTGTTCAATCAAAATTTAACTGTTTGCTGAACACCTTTTCTTTTGTTCATTTATCGAATTGAATTAAACGCCTAATATTTGTATTTTTAAAAATTTAATTTACCTTTCAGAGGATAAATTCGAAGTGTCTACATATTCAGTGTTGAGTCAATTTCTTACTGAACAGTATGTGATTCAAACAAAGAGCGCTAAAATTAATTTAATCTGTACAATATGTATATAATTCTTATCTTTAATGTATATTTTCTCTTTAAATTTATTTTCAGTTTTGTTTAAATTCATATAAATTACTTTTCCTTATTTAAAATTCTCGCCACATTGAATACGTGTGTACATAAGTCGACCAGTATAAATACCACATTACCTACCGAATATTTTTTCAAATTCTAGTTTAATTTTCTATTAATAAAGATGCTTTTTATTTGTCATTTTTTAAAAATTATATTGAATATTTAAATAAAAACAGAA